TGCAACAGACTTTGATGTAAGAAACTGTATTTGCTTTATTTAATAAATAAATATATATATATATCAGAAAACAAGGCCTACTCATTAATTTGATTTTTTAACAGAATGTTAGCCTTTGGAATATATTTGAAAAGTCAGTTGATAACTATAATGATAACGGCAGCCTTGGCAACACACACTGAACACAGTCTACAGAGGACTAGCTAACGATCGTTGAAATTAAAAGTTAGTTAGCATAACGTGTTAAGTATAGGATTTTCAAAGCTAAGGTTGTGGGTTCGAATCTACTTGGTGTCACTTGAATTTTTCTTTCTTTCTTTCAAGTTTCAGACGGAAAATTTCTAAGTTGAACGTAGTAGTTAATTAGGTATTCAAGGGCAATATTACACACTTAATGACTGTTCTCGGCGTACCTCGGGAAACATTGAGATTCTCGGGAAACAAAACTAACCGTTTCCCGAGGGAACAGTCATTAAGTGCTTTGTTATATTGGTAAATTATGTGAATAAAAAAAAATCAAAACACATTGCAAGATGATTCTCAATAATCATGATTAGTATAATTTCATAAGTGAATATCATAATTCTAGCGCACTGATTGGTCGAATTTAACGCTTCAATGAGCGATGTTCACCTATAGGTGAATATTGGATTTTTTCGCAAAATGGCGTCGTCCGCGAGTCTTTGGATTAAGCAATTGGATTAAAAAAAATTGGATTAAAACTTTTTACAGGTAAGTTTTGTTAATTTAATAATAAAAACCTTGTCTAAAACTACTTTTTTATCTATCGTTTTACGTCAAACAGGCTGAAATTTGTTTAGGTTTTCGCCTGGTTTGTTTACATTTTACTCGATACATTTTTTGACAGAATGGTTTCAACAACAGTCTGAATTTACTGTCAGCTTTGAAGACATGGATACAAGTGAATTAAACACGTGTCTATCAAAGTTTTACGTGTCCATAAGGAAGAAAGATGGCAATTATTACAAGAAGACGACTTTGCTGTCAGTCCGAGCGGCCCTCGACCGACATCTTCAATCCCCGCCACATAACATTTTACGAAAATGCAGTAGTTCTTTTTTCTCTATTTTTATGAATATTCACTTATGAAATTATACTAAAACAATTATTCACCTCAGGCTCAGTGATTATCAAGGAATATTTACCTCGCGGCTCGCGGAATCGCCGATCGGTAAATATTCATTGATAATCACTTCGCCTTCGGCGAATAATTGTTAAATAATACTTTATTGCAAATATAATATTCGACCATCGCGACAAAATAGCAAGATGTTAAGCGTTTAAATTACATTGTGCTTGAAAATAAAACTAATATAAATATACAAATGCCAAAAAACTAGCAAAACTTTATGAATGAAACAGTCAATAAGTTCCTGAATAGAAATTTAACGTGACATGTGTCCAAATTCACCGTTTCTCTCTAGGTTTCTCTGTATAATTCTATCAGAGTCGTAGCCAAAGCAGTCTTTATAGCCTTTGTTAGTGTTTTCCAAGTCCAACAACCATTTCGTCTATTTCTTGACTAAGATTTGAAAATCTGTTTTGATGCCGGCTCCATTTAGTAAACAGTCGAAAGCAGCAAAAACCATTCCCGCCATTACAAACTTTTACTCGACGCGAGGCGGCCTTTTCCGCCAAGCGGTCAACAATCTTCAAACTGTTGACCGATCAGTCAACACTTGATTTTAGCTCCGGACACGTGACACCGAATCGTCCAACAAGAGAGCGAGAAAACAGTGAAAATAATTTACCAATATAACAAAAATTAGTATTCAAGGGCAATATATAGATATTGCCCTCAAATGGGGGGCAATATATAGATATTGCCCTGAAACTTCGATATAAAGCACTTGAATGCACAATGAGCTGTGGAATAAGCGAGATACAACACTATGAATAACAAAGAAAACTGAATCAAGTATGAAATAAAGGGAGTTAAATCTACTACGTAATGAGAATAAAGTTTAACTCCACTAGGGGTAATTTTAACTCCACTATGGATAATTTTAACTCTACATTAAGAGTAATTGTAACCCTACAAAGGAGTAATTTGATCCTCCCTGGAGTTACTTAGTGGAGTAACTTCAGCAAGTGTAAAATATACTCCACAATGAGAGTAATACCAAGGAGTACTTTTATAGCTCCTCTTGGAGTTTGAATATGAATTAATATTCAGACAATATTTATTCTTTCATACTTACATTCTATTTTAATATCACGTATATAAACGCTATATATAGTGGTCTTTTACTTAACTCTTTTGTTAGGAATTATGCGTGCGCATGCGTGCACAGTGGACGGAACGAAAGGCTCGAAGTTTCCCCCATTGACTATTAGACGCACCTGTTCCCATATAAAAAGCATGCTTTTACATACTATGTAGCAGCTTGGACAAAGATAGGGGTTATCTGTGCGCAGCGGCGTGTGAATGATCTTRGGGCCGGTAATTCCCTTCCATGCAATCAAGCAAGCCACCGAGAATTCCTTGATATACAAAGACCGAAAGGCGGCCTGTCATACAGAGTGAAGACAACTCCTATATAGAGTAAAAGTTACTCTCAAATRGAAATAATTATTACTGCCAAACTGGATTTAAATAAGTAGAGTTAGAGTTAACTCTCAAAAAATAATAGTGGGGGTAGTAACTTTTGAGACCGAACCCTTAGGTCACTCCCATCAAAACGCACAAAATCTGAAGTATAGGGGGTGGTATTTTTATTATGTTAGCATAACCAAGGAACTGCAGGTAGTGCAACATGTTCATATGTCACCACAGATTTCATATATCTTGTCGAGCTTTAGTTATCAAAGGTAGTCACGTGACTATGCTCAGCTCAAAACCCCCGGAAAACTGAAACTATGACGCTAACCCTAGTCTAAATCTAAACCTGAGCTTATCTTTACCCTAATCATGAGACCGAAATACTAATCCAAATGTCAACCCTAACCTTAAGGTATCTGGGGACAGTTGTTTTTAGTACCGACCATKACGAAWGAAACGCATCGAAATGCAGTTTATTTTGCTTTGATCCGGTCAATATTTTGTCAAATGAAGGATAAAAGACCAAAATATGTTATATATAGATTTYATGAAAATCRAGTRTAATTTATTCAAGTTATGGGGAAATCCTGGAAAACACTTAAACTTGAATATTTCGCAAACCAGCCCTATTTTCTCTAAAATATTTCTGAATCTTGTTATTAGTGATATTACAAATGTGTGTGAAAATTTTAGACGAATTATGTCGAGCGCAACTTAAAATATGATCTCGTATATACGGAGCAGGCTTTTTCAAAGAAAAAACTCAAGCTCAAAGTTAAAAATTGTTATGTCGAATTTTATTGCATTACTATTCTTCTATAAAACAATGAAGAATGTCAACAAAGGCGTTCGGCATAATGTACAATCATTCGGCGAAATAGCAAGCACAAAATTAACATTTTTGATAATTTTACTACGTCCGTCCAAACATTTCAATTGAAAAAAGACCAAACGAAAAACATAAAGAGGGGATTCGGCTTCATGCTCAAGAAATTTAAAAAGATTCTTTGGACAGGTTTTTGAGATACGACGTTCGACATTGGTATCCGTCAGATGGGCAGACTAGCACTAAAACTACACTTTAAGTATTCTGGCTCTGCCTCAGCAACGAATTGACAAACAGCGCCCAAACTAAGCATGAATGTAGGAATAGGAACAAAGTTCACTAGCGCAGAAATCGAATGATCTACATGCAATAAAAATCGATATAACAAWTTTTAACTTTGAGCTTGAGTTTTTTCTTTGAAAAAGCCTGCTCCGTGTATACGAGATCATATTTTAAGTTGCACTCGATATAATTCGTCTAAAATTTTCACACACATTTGTAATACCACTAATAACAAGGTTCAGAAATATTTTAGAGAAAATAGGGCTGGTTTGCGAAATATTCAAGTTTAAGTGTTTTCCAGGATTTCACCGTAAATTGAATAAATTATACTCGATTTCCATGAAATCTATATATAACATATTTTGGTCTTTTATCCTTCATTTGACAAAATATTGACCGGATCAAAGCAAAATAAACTGCATTTCGATGCGTTTCTTTCGTAATGGTCGGTACTAAAAACAACTGTCCCCAGATACCTACCGTAGGTCACGTGACCCTCATTTTTAACTCGGAGATTGCGTTAGCAATCGTAGAGTTATTGTAGGGGAACGATATGTCACTCACTAAGTCACTCACTCACTTCTAGTAAACTAAAAAACCACTGCGCATGCGCGAAGTTTGAAAAACAAAATGGCGGACGAAGGAGGCTTGATTGAAGGCAACCTTCGGAGCTTAAAAAGTACAGCATTTATGGCCTTGTTCTCTTTGAAATTCCCATCAATATAAGGTCTGCATATCTTCTTGATTTTGGAATGGTTTTGGACGCTCAACATTATATGTATCGCAAAAGCTTTAGCCATAAACAGAGGTCTTCTCTCGAAAATCGAAAAGAACTTGCCGACTGACAGCAGGTGATAGTTTTGCCAAATATAAGCTCCTTTGTGCAGATATAAGGATTTTGATGGTCTTAAAATGTTTTTAAGGCTTTTTCCTACAAAATATCAAAAATGACTTTTTTTTAATTCATATGACTTTTTTTTTATCCTCGCTTAAAGTTCGAGTACTGTCAACATTTAATATTTCTAAACGATCAAATAAGCTTACAGTCTTCGTTCATCTATCAGGTCTTATAAAGTATAATTATTTCAAAACTTCATACTTACTTACTTGTGGGCTTGAATTCTATGTATTTGATATCCATTTAGGCTATATACTAATAAAGGTGTGCATAAAACAAACTACTTCTTGCTTTTTGGTGTTAGTTGTCTTAGTTCTGCAGAGTTTATGGCTTTTGTGTGGATTTTTTATCATGGAGCAAATTTCTCATAGAGCAGGCTGGAGAGCTACAAGATATGACACCAAGATATAACCAAGATATAATGGATTGTAGGAGAAAACTAAATTGGTTTCACAAAAAAGCTATCTTTTATGGTTTTGACACTGTTTGCTTTTGTTACTTTCACTACAACAAAATAGTAATTAAGTCATGTTGTTATCCATTTAAAAGTGAAAAATGTTCAAAAACCTCACAAMTTGAATGTCTTGGAATCACTTTAAGTAGAAGACAAGCCTACATTTGCACTAAGCACTTAAGTGAAGCTTCAGACTGCACAGAAATATAAAAACTGATCCATTGTATGAACCTTTTGCTCATAGTATTGTTAGTACAGAGCAATATTTTTGAGTTTTTAATCCAATTTAGAGAAGTTACAGATGACCAGACGCCTGCAGACGAATCTATAACAAAAGCTCAAACATTAACACAAGAAAATGAATCACTAAAGAGAAACTCTGAAAAATGAAAAGAAAAACTGTCTTTCAGTTGAAAATAGAAGCAGAAGAGTTGAGAGAAAAACCATTTATTGAAAGAAAAAAAAAGAAAAATATAACCAGAAATTATTGTTACTACATGATTATTGTACACAATCTTATTTTACTATAGTCAATCAGTGTGTTCTAGCCTGCAAACATGTTTAATATATAGACCTATTTTTTATTAAAGAAAATACTGTTACTGCATCTTATTTTTATGATTTTTTTATGATCACCTATATATTCACATGTTTTTGTAAATAAATAACTTATCTAATGTGTTAATAAAATGCTCAAAATACAGCTGACCATCTTGCAATAAGCAGCTCTCACAATCTCCGAGTTATGTTGCCATTGGCAGCTTGATTGAGTATAAATTCAATATAAAGTAGATAGTCGATGATATAGAAAAGAAAGGAATTCGCATAACTCAGCACAATTCAGCATGATTTTAGTACTTTTAGTGTTCATTAAACAGTCCTTACTATTAGGTATGCAGATAGTTTTATTCTAAAATAGTCCCAATAAGTTTTAATAATTTAGAGTTTGTGCTCTATTCTAGTGTTCATTCACAGTCCTTACTTCCTTACCATTAGGTATGCAGATAGTTTTATTCCAAAATCGTTCCAATAAGTTTTAATGATTTAGAATTTGTGCTCTATTCTATTGTTCATTAAATAGTCCTTACCATTAGGTATGCAGATAGTTTTATTACAAAATCGGTCCAATAAGTCGAGAAGACATCAAATGTTGTCTGGATGTGAGAACTTAAAAACGGCTTTTTTTGAAACATTCGAGAATGCTTCCACCTTGATTCATAGAATCCTGTAGGTAAGCTCCCTGACTGTATCCATAGGTCATAGGAAACTCCATGTACATGTTTAGGATCTAAATGATAAAAAAACATCAACATTAAATCATACAGCGATTTGCAGTTCATTTCCGATCGCTAACATATATCATACACGACTTTCACAATGGACGACACTAATTAGCATATTATTGTTAAATTCATAATGTTGACAAAAGAAAACACTCAGATGACAGATATCAAAGCTAAAGATAAGCTCTGAAAGTTTCAAAGAAAAATATTAAATCCTCTGGAGGTTTTAAGGGTTGGAAGATGCAAAAAAAAACACAAAACGAGGCCATCCAGGCCTCAGTAAAGAACATACAAATCCTTGTATTTTCATTCCTCCATAACTTCGTCAGTATTTAGTATATATGTTCAAAATTTTGCACCATTACTTATTTCTGATAGTTCTTCAATATGACAGTGCTGAATGTTTCCTTAATATTGCCAATCATATTAAATCGATGGTGTGCACTTGTGAAAGTGGTCTATTATATCGGTTGCATCATGGATATTTTCACATTGATTTTCGCCCTCTTCTCGTATTCATACATATATTCTGCTGCAGTTAAAATTATTTTGGAAGCGTCACCTTTTCATTTTTTTTCAATACTTAACTTTAATACACGTAAAACTACTGGTTTGCAAACAAATAACTACTTACAATTTATTGAGAGTGACACAAATAATTTGGCCGTCTATATGCTAACTTTATTCATAAAGTTTAAATTAAACAAATTAAGTAAAATAAGTTTATAAACTACGAAAGTTTGACGCCTTTACATGTAATAGTTTATGAGATATTAGCGTCCAAAGATGCTGAGCTGCAAAAGCGCTAATTACTCGTGCCCAGGCTACGCCTGCAGGCACGAGGTATAAAATGCAGTGCGTATAATTTTCTTTTTTTTCTTTTTTCCATGTCAGAAGTTAAGCCTCGGGTATCACGATTGCTTTCCGAACGCTGCATAGGAAATGACGTCACCACAGCTCGAACTTGTAGCAAAATCACCCACTGTACCTATCCTTACTAGTCCTTAAATTATGAAATTCAATGTAGCTTTTATACCAGAAAATTTTAACACGTTCACAAATGTGGTAACCAAAAATTAACCTAAATGCACATTATCTACGCATGCGCTTCGTTATGCACCGCAGTACTCGAACCCAGGCATTTCAATCTCGTACCCAGAGCCCGCGCTACTTTTGGTCTCCGAATGTTTCTTCTTG